TACGAAGCTCACTAATTTCCTGCACTGCACAAAGAAGACTGTCTTTGGCTTCTACACACTCTCCAATGTGAATGTCACAATCATCTTCTCCTGAACATCTTCCAAGACATGTGGACGTACTTCTCAGTCACCAACTGCTTAATTGTGAGGTTCTTATATTTCACAGAATCAGGCCTTCCAATAGCAGTTTGCAATCATTTCCCAACTGACAGCATTCCATGATCTGTAAGCATGGATGTGGCATCAAACAGGGATACTTAGTAGCATTCCTTGGTTGTTGTAATTTTCTGCAGGAATTTGCAGACAATGCGCATATGACATTTATGCTTCAAAGACATGATTATCACTTGTTCCACTGGCTGTAGGACTGATGTGCTGGCTACTTCCTCTTCAATTACACTTTCAGATTCCCCGTTCATGGCTCCGTAGCTAATCCCTGCATGTTTACTGAATCAAAAACACTGAAGGTGTGAATTCAGTGCTTAATTTTAAGGTTACTTCTTCAGTCTTCTGTCCCAACAATGGACCCTGAATTGGCATATTTAATGCCTGCTTCAGCCTGGATGAGTACTTACAGACTGCTAAAGTATATTTTCTCTTGTTTGTCAGATTATTATTATTTAGTGTCGATATTGGTTTGCTAAGCTATTATGTAACCACCGTGTGCATCACACTTCAGTTCCTCAGAAACTGTTAATACCTTACATTTTATGTTTTTGCTGCCATATACAACTGCGTATAACATGCAAGTTGGTTTACTTTCTCACAACTTCGCAAAATTAAAGATGTGTTCATGGTATGTACCCCTTCACATGAAACCATATACCAGCTACATGGATGGAGGTCAGAAAGTTGCTGCTAATTCCACCCAACTTCTGCCACTAACTGCGTGCTGTTAAGCTCTATGACATGTCCGATTTACGGGAACAACTACTGTGTTTCTAATTTTCATTTCATGCATCCTGTTGTGTTATAATACACAATTTCTTTATTAAAACCATCACAACACAACTATATTAAGGTCAGTGCCTAGTTTGGCTCTGCTACATGTTTCGGCTATTAAGAGCCATCATCAGGCAAGTACATGGCTAACATATTGTAACGTGTTTCGTTACTGAAGACGCCGTACGGATTGTTAATTGGTTTATTTAACAACGTATAAATCACGGCTACAATCAATTATAACAATATTGCGGGGTTTCACAATTTATAACCCTCACAATAATCAAATCACGCTATTGTCAGTAGACTTCACATGCTAATAACGCGGGAGCTATACAAGTCTCCCTGAATTACACACTTTCACTCATAACACGCCACTGGCTAGTAGGCTTGCTCAGAACTAACTCGGAGGTAGCTCCAGGACTAACTGTGAATAGCCTTCGCTGCTCCTCATGTAGCCTCGATCGGACAATACAGAAAATGGCCGCGTAATAAGCACCCTTGTTGCCTGGCGCTGTGTTGCTAGCAACGCTAGCGGTAGTAACCGCTGTTACTACCGTCGTCTCTCGCAATCCTGTTTATCCGTGCTGCCTAGCAACCTGCGGTACCCTTGGTGCCGTCATCGCTGTTGACTCGCGTTGCATAGCAACCAGGATACTAGGACTCGGCTAACTTCGGCTCACTTCGGCTTCGCTCGGCGCATCACGACTGGCGGGGGGGGGGAGGGGCGTCATCCATAGCTCAACATGTCACAATATATACACCACTGAACTGCAGTACTAATAAAAATGTATACAATGATATAAATTATATTAAAATACTTGGCATAAAAATACAGTAAATTAGATTATATAAAACAAGAATAAAATTCTTACATCATCGAGTCAGTCGTTGGATTTTGTGATTTTGTTGTGTTCCCACAGACAAACTGGAGTATTCTATATTTTGTATATATATTATAAACTGTTTTGGAGGCTCGTGATGTAGATGTATTAATATTAATGTTAATATGAAAATGATATGAAAGTAACAGTATTAAATTTTGTTATAATCATCAATTGATTTTGGTATTGAAGATATAGTGTATTATTTACTTACTATTTATTTGGTGCCTCATCTTACAAAGTACTGTCTGTTCTATAAGGAAGGTAAACAGCGACTGATTTGGTGATGTATGTTAAAAGTCAACGCAAGGAAGGGAGGGGGGAGGCAGAGATAAGGTGTATGCAGAAGTGGTGGTAGGGGGGGGGGAGGGGGGTATAACTGTATATTATGTTTTGTATGTATCAATGACTGGGGCACACAGTAGCGTAGTCAGTTGAGGGGCTATGTTACAAGCTGGAAGGTCGCAGGTTCAAGTCCTGATGAGGTCATTGGATTTTTTTCAATTGACCTAATCCTTCCTGCTGCACTATGGCCCTGGGGTTCACTCAGCCTCTAACAGAAATGAGTACCAGGAATTAAATAAATAATTTTCCTGGGGAGTAAACTGCAGTCAGCGCATAAGGCTGACAACCTTACCGCCATCTTTGAGCCAACTGTCTAGATAATGTGGGACCATCAATGTCTCATAACCCTATGGGCCTTCATGGCCTGGTACAGGGATAGCTTTACTTTACTTTTGTGTATGAATGATTACATCATATATAGGGTAAACATTTCGGTAAAATTATCATTCAGTGGCAAATTTAGTTTGCTGATTTCGTAAATGTGAAATCTTTCATATGTATCCAAGGTTCAGCCTTTCTTGCCAATATAGAGAACTTCTAATGTTTTGTCTATCGTACTATATTCATGTGTGGTGTCCAATATATGTTGAGCAAATTTGGAGCTTTGTCCGTTATTTTTTATGTCTCGTATGTGTTCCCTGAATCTGACCTTAAAGGTATGTCCAGTCTGTCCTACATATTTTAATGGACAGTCAGTACATTGTAGTTGGTAAACCCCGCTAAGATTATACATATCATTTCTGTCATCATTTATTTTTAACAGATGTTTTATTTATTTTTTGGCTTTCGATATCGAAAATATGTATACCAATATCCCCATAAAGGAACTCTTCAGTATTGCTGAAAATATTATACCTAAGAATCAAAACATTTCACATGTAAGTGTATCCAATTTTATTAGTACTGCAGTTCAGTAGTGTATACGAGTATATGTTAGCCATGTGTTTGCCTGATGATGGCTCTTAATACCCGAAATATGTAGCAGAGCCAAACTAGGCACTGACCTTAATATAGTTGTGTTGTGATGGTTTTAATAAAGAAATTGTACTTTGTTTCTCATTCATTTCTGTATATGTAATATTATCTGACACAAAGTTATTAAACGGATAGAATGTGTGCTATTTTTAGATGGGGTATATTTCTGTACGGGAAACTTTCAAGTACAATATATATACATTATTCTTATGGTACTACCTTTGGGACCCAATGATTTTAATTTTTCTATCAGGAAACCATTTTAAATATCTTCTTAAGCATGGACCACTGTACATATAACATACAACATGGAACTAAGGGTTGAATACTAATGCAGGTATAGTAATATGTCTTTTTCTTTGGAGAATTTATCACAGGGATATGAAAGTAATGAATAATAATTCAACATTCTCATTTTTGGTAGCATTATCTTAACCAAAGTGTTAAGCGTTTTCCTATACTTATTTAACTTCTTCTATTAGCAACTGTACTTCATGAGCTAAAGCAGCACCCACATTCTTCCCACAATTTTCTTCGTGTGCACACATGTGAGAATAAATGCACAGGCTTGCATCACACTTCAGTAACAGACATAATGAACAAAGCAGCTTCAATCACACCAATATATGTACACCATGTCACACGTGTGCTAAATGCTATTGACTGGGATACTTGGAATGATATAGACAGTGTCACGTAACTTCGAACAAGGCCCCGCATTCCTAGTCAAATCCTGCGCATGGCTTGTGGTGGGAGGACTTTCTTAACACTCGTTCTTCCACTGGCCGCCTGTCACTTCTCACACCCTCCACCCCNCACATTCATAATGAAAATAACCTTCTTTGTGACAAATGTGGATAGGATCTACACCATTTGTAGCTCCAATACCTATGTCATACTTGTAACATGCTTCTCATCTCATTATGTATATATGTGTCACACACTCACAAACTGAGATACTAAGATGAACTTCACCATCATATACTCATGGAAAAAAGGAACAATGTTAGTTTTCCTGAGTTTAGTGCACTCCATGTGGAAGAAGTTAATCCATCCTGCTTCCTTGTTTTGCTTTTTGACAGGCTGCCACATTCATGCAGACTTATTTTTTCAAGCTTAATATTCAAGTTTCATTTCATCTGTTTTGCCATACTAATTAGTTTTTTTAATGTCCATTACATGCAACTGCAACATAGTATATGTTTGATGGGGACAAAGCCTTCAGAATACGTCTGTCCCGTTGTATTCTGTGACATCATCATCCAACCAAGGCCAGTTGACAGAAGCTCATAGGATGGGAGAATTGCATGACAAGGAAAGAAAGCTACTGTATGATACTTCCAAAAACTACAGGAGAATTTACCTAGCCAAGCAACGCAATGCAAAATGAAACAAGCTAAAGAACTGAAGAGGAAATCCAGAAGTCACATGATATACATTTCTCAGTGGTTCAAACTTGGAGGGGGTAAGCTGCTCTGAGATTCTAGAGCGTGAACTTTCTTCCAGACAAAGACAGAGCACAGAAGATGGGTTTGGAAGAAAAGCTGCATGTGCAGCTGGAACAAAATATTATGGGCAGTGCCACTGGCAGCTGGTAAGGAAGCACTCGTTATGATGAAAATACTGGAAAAAGGCCTCACTTTATGTGAAGGTTTTCTGTACATGTAACATCAAGAAACTAACAGTTCCCGTGGTTTTGCCACTATCATGCATGATGTCCTCATTATAAGCCACACCTGCTGTTATGGTTTCACTGGATAATTCAGAAGTAAGGAGCTGTGGAAATCCAAGAACATGTTTGAGGCCTGATTTGGCAAGTTTTGGGACTCTGCATGTGTGTGTGTACCTCCTTACCTTTCCACTCATCCGTTTGGTCACGATGCAACACCTTTGTAAAGCGGCTGTCTTCAGTGAAGAAAAGTCCAAGCGCAAACACATAACCAAATGGTAGCCAGAAACTGACTTGACTGAAGTATTTGTTCTCCTTCATGAAGAAGTTTGTTCTGAAATATATAAGTGGTTTGATGAGACTGCTGTGGTGGTCAGTTTTAATCATGCTATGGCCCTATACAAGGATTAAAATATAACTGTTGTCTGTCACAGAGAGAGAGAGAGAGAGAGCAGCAAGGCTGCAATGTTGCATGATCTGCAATCACAGAAATTCTAAAAACTGCCAGCATTTTCCTTCAACTTGGCTGTACCGTGCACAGACTCACCACCCCCACCTCTCACTTAAAACAGACATCTTACAAAAGTAAGCCTCAAATTTGCCAAGGCAAAATCTGGAGGTCAGGTCCTTGGTCTTCCAATATTAAAAACATAATGAAACATCACCCAAAAGAACCACCAGAAAACACTGATTTTCAAAACAAAATTATGTTAAATTGTGAAAGCCATGACAGAAAACAGAAAATACAACTTCTGGAGAATGACTAACACTGAATGGCTTCACTCTCACCCCTTGGCAGTCCTTGCTAATGCACAACTAACAACCACTTCCTGCCTTCTTGAACCACAGAACAGATGGTGGTCAGCTGTTAGCTGGATGGGCATCAGTGCCAGCCTGGATGTGACTGTGAGACAAACCTTGATCTTGCCACAAATTCAACTTCAACCATCCAGCCTGCAGCCAGCCACTTTACTGACTGAGGTAGCCTAGATCACTGGAAACCCTAATGATGTTGGTGTCTAACAAAATATGCATGTGAAGGTAGTACTCACTGTTCTGTGGCAAACTTACCTGTCACAAAGGAAGAAATAAGCCATGATGATGCCCATCCTGGCCAGTGATGTCACCAATGTGTACAAATCAGACTCAGGGGGTGACTGCTGCTTCCTCAGTTCAGTGAGAGGGAAGTATGCAACTGGTGCAGTTCCCCTCCACTTCTGCATCCACCCGTGCAACACCAGAACAAATGATAACACGGAACTGAAAGAAATGCCAACACTTGTTATTTCAATTCTTTGATTATTTAAATGTCCATATGTTATACAGTGCAGAATGACAGATGGCCATGAATGATGAACTGGAACAAGTGTTGACCTGTTCTAACAATGTTGGTAAATGTGGTGCTATCTGAAAGTCCTCGGACTGTTATTGTTGTGACACTGCTTAGGTGAAAGAAGATGCAAGGGGAGGCCAAGGTCAAACTTCTGAAAGCCTATTGTGTCAGCCTCCCACGTGATACTGCACAGTGAACACGCACTGTTTTTACACGAGTGCTTATTTTACTTTGTGTTCCGTTTTGTCTGTGACGGGTGGCAAAACTGAGCAATGTGTCTGCAACAAGTTTTGCACACAGCTCAGTAATTCCACTACCAAAGCCCTTGAAATGTCATGAGGCTTTTGAAGAACATTCTTTAAGCTGGACAGCAGTTTTGAAATGCATTAACATTTCAAGGCCTGTTGAGTGTCAGCTGAAGGTGACAAACATTCAGGGTAACAAAGCACCAGCAAAGCAACAGAAAATGCTGTAAAAAATTTGAGAACTTATCCACGAAGACAATCGCCAAACAATCCACGAGTTTGCAGACACCGCTGGGATCAGTTATGGAGTTTGCCAGGAGATCTTAATAGAAAATCTGAACATGCGCCTCATTGTGGCTAAGTTTGTTCCCTGACTTTGACAAATGATCAAAATCAGAGGCACATAAACGTGTGTCTTGAGTTACAAGAGGAGGCTAACAAGGACCCAGCTTTTACCTGTATCTGTAATGTCCCAGCGGCGCAGGGGGGGAATGGAGGTATCCCTCCCGCTGCTGCCGCCGCTGTAATGCCGTGGTACAGGGGGGGGTGGAGTCAGCCCGCCTCTGTCACCACTGTAACTCCGCATGTAGGGGCCGTGGAGGTATCCTTCCTCGCCTCCACTAGTTATGTCGTAAACTGGTACTCCTGGTAACGTCGCGCCGTCGGGGGTGTGCAGGTACCCCTCCTTGCCTCCACTGGTTATGCTGTAAGGCGTTAACGCAACCATCCTAGCTTACCCTTAGCTAGGATTCTCCTATATCGGAGTTTCCTTCTGTCATACAAGCTGCCACCATCTATTTTCTGTTCTTTCAATTGTTGGTACTACTCCCTGACATATAGTCTTAGCTCCTTCTTGACCACTCCGCATATGGTTTACAGGTAGCCACGTAATCCATTAATATTACACTTTATCTTCGGATCTTGGGAGGGCGTTACTATCAAGGCTACCGTACTCTGCCTGTGTGGCAGGAGCCTATCCCTGCCTATTCTTATCTTCATCTTCGGCTGCCACTGCGGCCTGTGTCAGTTCTGCCCTCGCTCGTCAGGATTACTCGGGATCGGGTGTGGGAGGTGGAATATATATATGAATTACACTCCCGGTACATCCTATCCTATCCTAGCCGTCTATTTACATTAATATATATATACACAATTTACATTATTTACAGGTTACAAAGACGGTCCTTCCGTCGTGACTACATATTCTGTTTCTTCAAGTTCTTCCCCCTCATGGGGTGAAGGCTTCGAGCCTCTCTCTCTCTCTCTCTCTCTCTCTGACTTGCTAACGAGGACATGCAAGTCCCCCTCGAGAACATATATAGTTTCCCTGTACATTTCTTATTATACATGATCTATGATTACCGATCTATCGTACGGTCTCGTCTACATAAACTACCCTTAGTTATGTTTGTAACTCAAGTTCCCATATACTATCTTTACTATAACACACTAACCCTAACTTTGATATATATATATATTATGAATCACTGTTGGCCTGCCTAATGTCCTAGGCCTTCACATTAATCTATCATCCTACCCTCGGGGCTCACTGGGTACACTTGAAATTGCACATGCAATATCTCAACACACTGTATCACCAATACTATGGAACAACGTTATTATCACTCGGCATGGCTAATATACGTGAACAAGACTTACTTGACATAGAAGACTGTAGGCCCTTCCGGCGCTTGTTAAACCCATATTGAGCAGCGCCTCCGGCTTACAACTGAATATTCTGTTTAAAATCAGTATTCCAAGTCTCTTGACTTTCCCTCATTTATAGTCTTAATTCGCTGATTCAGCGTGGACGACAAGGGGGTAGATAGCTCCTCCCTTGTGTTCTAATTTCCTAAAGTTAGGCTTTCATTGGGTATTCTATGTGGCTGGGGGTGGACCTCTGGCGTCTGATCGCTGTGTATTTACTCATATGACCATCTCCAGTGGCCTAGTTAGCGGAGCGTCTTGCATACGGTATTACGCATGAATGCTGATTATCGCATTCTTAACCTCATTGCGTGTCCATGTGTTGTCATCTTTGCTCTTTCACTGCAAAACACTTTTCGCAAGTCTCCAGGCACCTAGGTAATGACTTAACTTTTCAATCCCAAATTTGCTCCTCAACAGTATCTCTAGCATAATAATGGGTGATGAAAGTTTAATGTATAGTTATAATCCAGAAACAAAGTAACAATGGTCACGGTGGAAGAGCCCACAATCACCAAGAGCAAAACAGGCATGATAGGCCTGGAGTTCAACAAAGAACATGTTCATAGATTTTTTTTATGTGAAGGGGATTATTCGCCTGTTCCTCCTATAACTACAGTCAACTCTGACTCTTACTCATACTGTGACATTTTGAGACGCTTGAGAGAAAGTGTGCCCCAGAAAAGACCGAACTCTGATGCAAACCACAACGGGCTCCTTCATCATGACAACGTGCCTGCCCACATCTCTGAAAACCACAGAATTAGTGACTAACAGAAGTTATGACAAGCTTCACCAGAAGTCTAACCATGTCTGATGAGGGACAAAACCTTAAACACTTGCACATATCATTGTAGTTTATGATGATTCAATTGAAGTCAGTAAAAGCAAAGGAAAGGGAAAACCTGGTGAGAAGATTGGAAAAATACTGTCTAGCACCTATGCAAACAACTTAAGCAACTCAATACATAATGAACCACACTACTGGACTGACAAGTAAATGCAGAAAATATTACATGATATACATTTCTCAGTGGTCAATCTTAGCAGGGGTTAGCTGTTATCAAATGCTGGAATGTGGCAGGATAGACAGGGAAGGTTAATGAGGCCATTATGGACTGCTGGCCATAAATAATTCTGGAAGCAGAACTGCATGCACAGCTGGTACAAAAAGTTATGGGAAGACAGCAGTACCTAGTTACAAATTACTCATTATGATGAGCATGTGGGGAAGAAACCCTCATTTTTGCAATGATTTTCCTTAAGGGTAATGTTAAGAAACTGAGAGTTCCACTAGTTCTTGTCACTATAATGCAGTTCTCATTTCCTGTATCACAGTTTCACTCTATACAATAATCAGTTCACACATTTTCAGAAAATACTGTGACATGATGTCTGAAAGCTGGGATAGTGGAACAAAAAGAGGACGCTGTTGCTATGCAATAGCATGGGAAACACGCAACAACAAAGGAACCACGGAAACGATATTCTCTATGAGGTCCATGCCAAGGTTATATAGCAAGGATCAATGGAGTCTTGAGTTTTGAGTTGCGCTGTTAGACACCGCCACCAAGTACCAACTAGTGAAGACATAGTGATTTGCAGAATGTGTAGATTAGTTGAAGTGTTGTAATTATTTGCAGTTATCAATAATAAGCATTCAATAAATCCAATTATCAAGTCAAACTCCGTGTCTACTCAGTAACACATGACAACAAATTTGTAATCCAGTTGCATACTCCATTTATACCCTAATTTAATAAACAAGTCTCCTTTAAGATCTAAATGTTTGTGACAATGGTACATTAAAACAAATATTATGTTTCTGGACATTATCCATCATCCTGTTTCTATTTAAAACACAAATGTTTTGGAGCCTGGAGATGGGGACTAGCTATATCAATTGGGCCCTAGTGAGTAGGTTTTACCTAAAGACAGATACAGAATCCAGTCTCCAAAATGTTGTTTTATATAAAATCAGGATGATGGATAATGTCCAGAAACATAACATTTGTATCTCTCCTTTAATTTCCTGCACAGTTTTATTTATTTATGTCACTCTTCATTTATTTAATTATGCTTACAGTTGTTAAGATGTCTACTCTTGATATATATAACCATATAACTCAGACATGAAGTGTAAGAACCATTAACTATATTTTTTAATCGCTTCCAGGAATAATATCAAATATTAACCAAACTGGCTGTAGATAAAGCGGACGTGATGCACATGCAACATTAATGAACAGTTATGACCACAGCAATACAAATACCTGACACACTGCACATTGTAAGTGCTGACCTTTAAACCTTGTTCTCCCTTAACATTCTGATGGTAGCTACAGGGTTCTTACACCAAGCTACAGAACTGTATCATATATTTATCCACCCATAAGTAAGCATTTTTATCTTCTTATAATTCCAGACAGCTGCATATCTCACCTCACACCAAGGATAGCAAATGTGACAACCTGCAATGTGGTGTACGGCTCAGCACTGCTGCAACATGTGCCATCATTGAAGTTCATGTGGTCGTTACAATACATGTTCAGTAAGATCTGCGGGGAGAGAAAAATCAGTCACAGTAAAATTTGTGCAAAATCAACACCTCTCCTAGTAAAAGAAAAATATAAAAGAAGGTCAAACATCATGTGGCTACATTTTAAACTACAAGCCTGAAGTATTTTCCTTTAAACACTGCAATCTGCATCTAAAATAATACAGTGAGTTTTCTAAGCAGTGAAGTTGGAAGCAAATTTATATGTTTTGGGTTGGCCAAACTGGATGGGACACCATATAACTCTTCCTTCTGAGTTCACACCCATAAAAAAATCAGCATACTTATGTTCCTGTATTTGTTTAACAAAGCTGTCATACTTCCGTATTTCAGCATCCTGTTGCAAATCTTTAATTAAACGTCTATGCATTCACAGTCCGTCAATAATGCAACAATTGTTTATTCACCATTTAACACTCAACGCAACATGTTTCGGCCACAGACGGCCATCTTCAGGTGTTTTAACCTTTATGAGCTGAAAGACACCGTATGGGGACATTTAAAGTAAAGGCGAGTGGCCGAAAGACACCGTATGGTGACTCGCAGGCCGCGTGTGCGCACAGTGTTTTAAAATCTAATTTTAAGATAGAAATTCTTGTTCTGCTTACATTATTTTTGGACACCAGCTTTATAAGTAGACTGTCTTCCCTCCTGCATCATCTAACTGAATGTTGCATGTCACTGAATGCAGAGTCCGACGTCGCAATTCATGCATTTTGTCCGTAATTAACTCTGTTTTCCACGCGAAGCGCACACACGCAATGTCAGTCTCGTATTAGCAGGAAGTAGGCCAGTGATGGTGAGTGGTCTCCTCTATTCATAACGCTTATAAAACATCGCAATTTCAACTTTGCACCATGGCCCATTTTCGCATTGAAGTAGCCGAAATTGAGAGGCCTCTCATAAATCACACCATTCAGACTGTGTTACAGTCGATTTGAAGGGATGTGGAAGCAAGGGGAATGAGGGGATTCCAAGAAGAGTAACTCTGTGTTGATAGTCCGACATAGTGAATAAACAAGCAGAGTTTCATACGGTCACATCAGGATAAGAACTGGACCACACTTGTGTATACAGGAAGCCCACTTGACTGGAGAATGTACAGTACGTAAACATCTTCTCCTATTGCCAGATAAAACAGGGACAGTGTCAGCACCATGCATTTATACTGCAGAAACGTATTGTGCAGAAGCTTTATGCATTTTTGTGGACAGACGCTCAAAATTGGGGAAAAATTATTTTTGGAATCAACATAACAATTTTTACAGATTCTAAAACCTGTAAATTACAATATCTGATTCTATGTTCTTTCTAGATAAAAGCAGGGTTTATTTCGTTCGTTTATCACAAAAATTATAGAAATCACAGCATTTTGAGTAACGTGATTACAATTTTTATTACTCTACAATGCCGGGCATTTAAATTAACTCCGGCCCGCGACCATTACCGGAATTTAAATGGACTGTCTCTTAATGGTTAATGCATCAAAACTGTTACATTGATCTGATGTGCGCTAACACCTCGCGTTGCAGTCCACTTAAATAAAATGTAAATAATTAATTAAAATCCATTAAAAGTTCTATTAAAATTTTTTAATAAAATCCTATTCCACCTCATAAAGGGCATCGTCCACTTGTTTGGAGCTATGTGATATTCTAAAAGGTTCATTTCTGCAGCGTAGGACACAGAAATGAACACCATTCAAAACATATTATGTAATAACTAGCACAACATAAACTTAATTAGTAACCTACCCCCCAGAAAAAATAAAAACAAAATACACATGCTGACTCACAGCAACAAAAACAAAGTGGGTTGCATTCACGTACAGGGGTAAGGAAGTCAGAGCAATCACAAAGCTCTTTCGAGACACAGAATAAAAGTGGACCTCCATGTGCCACAAACAGATAAATATAGTAGAAGTGGGATTTAACAAATGAAATGCCTAAATTGCCCATTAAAGCATGTTGAACAAACAGGGGGAACATTTAAGACCAGATATAAAGAACACATTCATGACATAAATGTAACAATAGTAACTCAGGATATTCAAGTCACATATTAAACACCAGACAACATACAGCACAATAACAGATACCACGGAAATTATACATGTAACAGGGAGTAAAGGAAAATATTTGAACACACTTCAGAAATATCATATTTGCAAAACCAGTAAAGAAAATATACGTATGAATGACACAAATATCAACACACACAATCCTATATTTGAAGTATTATACAAAAACTACACAACATAACACTATACCCTCCGCTACCTCTCCTCACTCCTCACAACCAGGGCATATAAATATGGGAACAAACACAACACATCCGCACTAGTGAAGATAACATCACATGCTGCTAGAGGGTACACACAAGCAAGGGACATGTGAGTGTAAAGCAAACCAAGATAACATAACATTAATAACAACAATCAGAAAACAATATTAACATGTGGCATTCTGTAGATTACAGATTGCAGACGTAGCAAAACAATGGGCTAACAAACAGAAAACAAGCTGCAGAAATGAACCTTTTGGAATATCACACAGCTCCTAACAAGTGGACAGTGACCCTTATGAGGTGGAATAGGATTTTACAAAAAAAAGTTTTAATAGAAATTTTAATGGATTTTAAATAATTATATATGTCCAAGTAGGCTAATATGACAGTGGAGGGTGAGTCCATGTACAAGTGCAACGCATGTGCGAATTCATCAGGCATTGATATGGATCCTGCCAAACCACCGGGATCTCCATCTAAGGAGCTACAAGTTGTGCTTCATCCAACCAAGAGGCCTGCACCGTGCAGATAATTGAGTCCCTTGTGGATATGGTCACTAATTTGGCCAAAGAGGTCGGCCATCTCAAGAATAACTTGCTGCTGAAACAGGAAATTAGGAACCTACATAGTCATGTTGAAGCATCGCCCAGGCCCCCTAGGGAGCAGCGAATTCTGCCAGTGGTAATGTCCCTCAAGGAAGCAGGGACGTCGCTGCGGTTGGGATTTCACCCTCTGGGCCTACAGCACTACCTGATCCTGACAGATCCCCGAGGTTACTGCTGCTGACGTGCACAAAACATTGAAGGAGCAATTGAGTCTAAAACAGTTGGTCTGCACCAGACTCAAAACTAAATTCAACTCGTACTCTTCCTTTCATATCTCTGTACTGGAAGACGAATTTGCTCTAATAAATAACACTGGTGTCTGGCCTTCTGGTTGCTTATTTGCTCCATTTTATGGTAAGCTTTCCCCAGACCAGATATTTACATCCAGCACACCTGAAGCGGCAGCTCCTGCTGCCGCTATTAAATCTGCAGCAAATCCAGCGGGTAATGATGGGGCTAATGGAGGCAGCTTGACATCCACATAAACATGGCCTCTTTCAGTGATGTGAGCACGAGTCGTTCGGCCATGTCACATGCGAATTTCGGTAACTGTCTTGGCATTTAATATCAAAACGTTAGAGGTCTCAGGACCAAGCAACTTGAATTTTATGATAACGTGTGTGCCTTCAATTTCGACATAATTTGTCTATCTGAGACATGGCTCAATGACCTGTACTACAACCACAATTTATTTCCTAACCAGTACACCATTTACGAGTCTGACCAGCCATATATAAACAAGGCTCATGGTGGTGGTGTATTAACAGCCATCACTGCTAGCCTGGGCTCCTGCAGTCGCAGGTATGATTTAGAACTCTGTTCTGAATGTGTATGGGTCAAGATTCCCACTGCTGATGGCATAAACATACTTATTGGTAACCATTACTTCTCCCCAGACACCAAATCAGTAGTCATTACTGCCTACTTTCGACACCTTGAAAACAATCTAGACACGAACAATACTCGTGTCATATTACTCGGTGACTTCAGTGCTCCTGGATTCAACTGGGAGAGTGGGACACCTCTTTCTAGTTGTCATTATTATTCTAAACTCAAAGGGGACTCTATATACACCTCCACATGTTTTCTTGGCCTAAGGCAGTGCGCTGAGGCTGTTGACACTCTTAACATGCTTGAGCTAGTCTTTGCTAATTTCACTGATCTAAAGTCTGTTCCTGCAGACTCTGGATTGGTCGTGCCTGATATATGTCACCCTCCTTTCAACATTGATGTGCAATTAACTAATGTTAATAATAATTAAATTGTGAGTTCAGTTATCAAAATTTCACAGCTGGCAACTACACCTTGCTTTACAACATTCTATATACTTATGATTGGTCAACCGTGTTTGAAACCTCTTCTGTTGATGTAGCAGTCGCCAGCCTCAGTGTTGCTGTCACAGGTGCCATGGAGCACCATGGGTATCACTTCAAGTCTAAATTCCCTCAATGGTTCTCCTACACCTTAAGGTCCAAGAAAAATTATTTCCATTGTCATTTTAAAAAGAAACCTTCCGATTACTTTTACGACAGGTTCACCTATTATCGAAAACTAGTTAAAAACACCATCAAGTCCCACAGGCTTGGGTGGTTGAAGTCAGTTGATAACAATTTAAAGTCACAGCCCCAATATTTCTGGAAATACATATCTAATTTCAGAAAGCATAGATCCGGTTCCATTCAGCTAGAGGTTAATGGTACACACCTAGTCCAGCCCAAAGCAGCTGCTGATGCATTCGCTAAGCACTTTCAATCTGTTTATAATAAGCTCTGTTCTAAGGGCATTCCCCATCTCTTGCAATCATCTGAATTTTTATCCCTTGCCCCAATTTCCGATGCAGATGTTTGCAAAGCCATCAAGAGACTAAAATGATCAAAATCTGTTGGGCTTGACGGTATTCCTGGTTTTATCATCAAAGGTTGTACTGGTATCATTATTCCTATACTTAGGCATATATTTAGGCCGCATCATAGCTCAAGCGGTTAGTTGCTGGCTTCCCACCACGGTGGCCCAGGTTTGATCCTGGGTCTGGTCAAGTGGGACTTGTGGTGGATAAACTGGTGCTGGGGCAGGTTTTCTCCAAGTACTTCTGTTTCCCCTGCCAACCTTCATTCCACCAATTCCTCCACAATCACCCTCACCTATCATCTAGGGCTGGTACAATAGGCCAGACATGGCTGCAGTACAAGGGACTTAGTCCCACCCCACTAACAATAAAAAAAATAATAGGCATATATTTAACTTGAGCCTGACACAGCAGTATTTTCCTGCTGCATGGAAAGAATTATATGGCATTCTACTGATCGGGGTGTCTGGATGAAAGGTATACAAAATAAAAAAAAATATATCTTGGAAACTGTCATACACACATGCAGTTTATGTCATCAGAAAGGAAAACCCTAAAAGTTTCTTTTTATGCTTGGCTTACATGCGTGCGCCAATTGGTGACTTGCGGCGAGCTCAGTAATGGTGTCAAGAGCACAGGAACAGGTTCAATGAGTGTTGTGGCTAGCAGAGTTGCAATCTTTTACGGGTCTCCAGCATCATTTTAGAACGCAATATGTATGCATGTCAGCTTCCAACACGGAAAAGCATGCAGATCTGAGGCAACAAACTGAGGACTACAGGGAGTCTGTTGCGTTTAAAATCTCCTGAAGAGACACAGACCTCTGAAGAAAATGTCACTCGCATTAGAGAGGCATTTCAGCAAAGTTCGTGCAAATCAATTGTGCTGCAAGCTTCCAGTTACAAATTACACATTCAACATTGCACAGCGTGTTACACAAATGGCTCTGCCTAAAAGAGTAGCATAAAAGATTCAAATGATTCATACACTAAAATTGAGTGACCAAGTAGAACGCATAACTGCACTGTGGACGTGCTAGAAAGAACTGATGCTTCACCCAACTCCCTCCACCAAGTGTGCTTCTCATATGAGGCGACATTCCATGTCAGTGGAGTTGTAAACAGGGATAACTGAAGGATTTGGGACAGTCAAAATCCACGTCACATGTGAGTTGGAGACAGGCAGCCCCCAAGTGAACGTGTTGGCCAGCTTAATGCACAAGTTGATTGGACTTTTTCTCTTTTCAGAGAAGACTGTGACTGGACATTCATATTTGGACACACAGGAATTCTAACCCAGTAGGAACAGAGACACAGGTGCAAGAAATTTTATGTGAGTTGGTCCTTCTCTACATATGTCCCCTGCAAGGCCATAAATTTTCCCCAACGATAGTGGCTTCTTTAGCTGTGGAAAGAGGAAGAAGTCGCTCGGTGCCAGGTCTGGTGAATATGGCGGATGGGAGAGAATTTCATATCCCAAACTGGCAGCAAGTGTTGTTGTAGCATGAGCAGGTGCATTGTTGTGAAGTCACACACCTTTTCCTAGCATTCTGCATCACTTTTTCTTGATTTCCTCCCATAATTTTCTCAGAAGGTTACGGTAGTACTTGCCAGTGATAGTGACGTCCTTTTGTGTGTAGTTGGTCATGATGACACCCTGCTGATCACAGAACATGCTCAACATCACTTTTCCTGACAGCAGCTGGCATCTGGCCTTCTTTGGTGGTGGCAAGTCTGCATGTTTCCACTGCTTGCTCATTTCCTTTGTTTCAGGGTCATAATGATAGACCCAACATTCATCCATGGTGATCAGGCAATAGAAAAATTCCACCTTTTTGTCTTGACACAACTGCAAAAATTTCCTTGTCACATCCGTCTGTTGCTGTTTATGAACTGATGTCAACAATCGTGCCATCCAACGCACAGTGACCTTTATCAAGTGTAACTCATTATGGAGCATGTTGAAAACCGACCCATGGCTATGTGGACCTGATGAGCAATAGCTTTGACAGTTATGCGCCTATCAGATAGGATCATAGCTTCCACCTGTGCCACAATTCCTGGTTCCTCAGCGAGAGATCGTCTTCCACTTCGGGGTTCATCTTCGAGGTTTGTCTGTCCACAATGAAAGCGCCTCTTCCACCTGACCACTGTGTCATATGACGGTACACCTTCCTGATACACAGCAGTCATCTGGTCATGGATCTCCCTGGCAGACTTCCCTTGCAAATGCAGGAACCGTATCATAGTGCGAGCCCCCAATTCTCAACTGAAGTCACCATTTTGCTTCTGCCCCTTCCGGTAGCTCCCTCTGTCCACTTGCGACAGGAAAATTTGACTGTTTGGCAAGCTCAGGAAATGGGCTATCTCCTATATAGAATGATATTTTGGAATTATGATTTTCTCATGGTGATAATTAAAACATTATGACTTCCCATCGTACGGGTTGCCCCAATTGCCACCTAAAACTATCCTCCAGCAAGATGGGGCACAGCCACATTTCTGCCATATTACGAATCATCTGGACAGAGAAATGGCTGGGCAGAGGCTGATCAATTGCATGGCTTCCTAGGTTGCCAGATATAACCCCACTGGATTTTTTTGTGGTGTTATGTGAAGAACATTGTCTATGAAGTTAAGATCAACAACCTCAAACACCTGAAAGCCTGCATAAGGGACACTGTGGCTATGGTAACACCAAACATGCTTCAAACAATGTGCAATGAGGTACAAAATCGTCTGGATATTTGTCGTGCCACTAAGGGAACCCACACTGAAATTTACTGAGAAAGTTATATATTTGGTAAAAGCTGTCATAGTTTCACTTTGTAATGGTGTAACCCTTAAATGTGTATAATAAATGCTTTCTGAGATATAATTATTTTATTCTGGATACCGTTCACCTGGACACTCTGTACATAACAAATGAAAATTGCATAGCAAGACAGGTTTATCTCTGGGCATATCTGCTTTCCCTGGCATCAATCATTTTACCAAAACTCCACACTTATTTATCACCTCCCCTGAGGTGTGTAATAGTCAGTGGTTACATCTGTAACTACACATTCACTGACTCAAAGCAAAGAAAGTGCTTTAATGGGGTCTTTTGACACTGTCACATGCAAGAATTAATGAAGTGTACAGTAGAACTACTGCTCACCTGTGTGTCATGCTTGAGGGCCAATGGTCCAAGATGTATACCATCTTCACTCTCCTCCAGGTTGCCCTGTGCCACAAGCCGAGAACTGGACCAGAGCTGAGCTGAACTGTGCTGAAGAATCTGCACCACAGACAAACAAGAATCAGAGTTTTCAGAGTGATTAAATTTGAGTGCCATGTTGCAACATGTGATGGATTTCCATGCCTACGGACTCCACCATACCGTTCCTTGATTAATACTGAGACAAAACTTACCTTTAATAAAATTTCAACTGGCTCATAACATTAACAGAAATGTGATTAAAGCTACATACAGTGTGGCAACATGGTATGGATACTCATACCTATGGACTCCACCACAAGCTTCCTTGATGAACACTGATATGAAAATTACCTTCATAAAATACTAGGTGTCCGGATGAAAGATATCAAAAATAAAAAAATGTATATCTCAGAAACTAACTGTCATATACTTATCCGGTGTATGTAATCGGAAAGGAAAACTCTGAAGGTTCCTTTTTAAATGCCCAGCTTGAGTGCAAGTGCCGCCACATTTCTGCCACCATGTTAGGAATCACCTGGACAGAGAGATGGCTAGGAGATGGATCGGCAGAGATGAACCAATTGCTTGGCCTCCTAGATCACGAGATTTAACCCCAATGGATTCTTTCTTGTAGGGTTATGTGAAGAACATTGTCTACCAGGTTAAGATCAACGAGCTTCAACACCTAAAAGCCCACATGTGAGATGCTGTGTCTGTAGTAACAGCAAACTTGCTTCGAGCAACGTGGAACGAGGTCAAATATCGTCTGGATATTTGTCGTGCCACCAAGGGAGCCAAAATTTAAATTTATTGACAAAATTATATATGCAGAAAAAACTTTGATAGTTTCCCTTTGTAACAATGTAACCCATTAATGTGTATAATAAATTCTTTCTGAGATATAACGATTTTATTTTGGATGCCTTTCATCTGGACACCCTTTATGACTGACATAACTTTCCCAGAAAATGTGACTCAGTAATACAGTCTTCTGCATTGTAATGCCACACAGTTGGGAGAAAGCAAAACATTCCTGCAAAACACTAGGCTTTCTTGAACTACAGAGTGTTACAACCCAGAAAACTGTAACTTCATAGTCACTGCTGTGAGGACGTCAAATCCAATATGATTGAAGAAAGCAGTCTTCTGAGATGTGGCGCTTTGTAGATATTGTGTTAACCAACGTTTCAGAAGAATGTATCGCCTACATCTTCAGGGCAGAAGAAAGTAGAAGAAAATCTGAGAAACAAGAACCAGCATGAGCAGGATTTTCTTCTTTTTTCTTCTACCCTGAAGATGGAAGCGATAAATTCCTCCGAAACGTCGGTTAACACAATATCTACATGGTGCCACAACCCAGATGACTGCTTTCTTTATAGTCAACGCCGTGAAAACCTCAAATCTTACGATATGATTGAAGTTCCCTATACCATATTGTCAAAATGTACGATGGGGTACCCAAAAGAAACCGAACTAATTTTTTTGTGGGCAGAGCTTTTGTAGTACCGCGTTTTGCCGCTATGAGCGCATAGAGCTAACATTCCTGAGTCGATAAGCTGACTACCGTTGCTTCAGAAGGTAAGGACTAGTTTCGGCAGAGTTTATAGTGACAACTGTTTTCTGTGATCGTCGTTTTTGCAATGGCTGATTTTCGTGAACAGCGTGCGGCGGTTAAATTCTGCTTTTTGCTCGGGAAAAGTGGAACAGAAACTCTTGAAATGTTAAAAACGGCGTACAAGGACAATGCTATGGGGAAAACTCAAGTGTTTGAGTGGTTTTCCCGTTTCAAAAATGGTGAAATGTCAATTGATGACAAACCTCGTTCTGGTCGTCCTTCCACGGCCCGAACACATGAAAATGTTGAAAAAATTCGTGAAATCATCAAGGAAGATCGACGACAGACCATTGAAGAAATTGTGGAGCTGTCGGGAGTGACTTGGAGCTCAGCGGCCAGATTTGTGGCAGTCGGGTGACTGGTTTTCCCATCATGACAATGCCCATGCTCTCACAGCCCTGTCTGTACGATGATTCTTGACCAAAAATGGTATGACCCCTGTTCCTCACACTCCATACTCACCCGACCTTGTCCCGCGCGACTTCTTTTTGTTTGCTCGAATGAAAAGAGACATGAAAGGAAAAAACAACGGAGGCGCTGTCAAGCATCTCAAAAGATGAATTTAGACAATGTTTTGAAAAATGGAATAAAAGACTAGACAAGTGTATTAGTGTAAGTGGAGAGTACTTTGAAGGGGACTGAAGGTTTGTGCTTAAAATTTGAATAAATAAGTTTAAAAAAAAATAAGTTCGGTTTCTTTTGGGTAACCCCTCGTATTTTCCTAGAGACTTGTTTCCATAAAAATTTTATCAAGAGTCACAACACAGCGGCTACTTTTTTATGAAATTTCCTGCCTAAAGGTAGGTGTGCATAATTAAGAGTATGCATGGCAGGTAAGTTGCATAAACAATGAACCTCCTGCTTATATACCGTTCAAAAGACATTTCAGTCATTATCAACATTATAATTTGTGATATTAAAAATTTTTCTTGAAGGATTAGTCAAGTACGTGCTTAGGTGTCCCACTTCACACATATTTACTGGAATATCACCTAAATTAACCTATTACCCATAGAACTATAAGATTCACTACTTCTTCCTGCTTTGGTATACTATCCTTAGCACTCTGATGTCTGCTCTGTGCATTGTTTCAAGCGACTACATATGTACTGTCACATGTTAGTGACTAGACACAGGGTTTAGACTGACAATTGGATTTACTGAACACTTCTAACACATAGATAGAGGCAACTATAACAGTTGCAAGGGATCTACACACTTTACATGTCACTGTAACTGCAGCACACATAAAGTCTCCGATGTCCTCACTAGTCACTGCCTGGTAATGGTTCCCAACACTGGATACTCCTCTGCTTCCATGCTCATATCCTTGCTGGATGGCAGCTGACTTACAACTAACTGGCCTGTCTTGTTGGTCCTTCTTGTATAGCCTTGGAATGAACTGCAGAGAAAACACTACCCCCAACAGCAACTTCACTGTTGAAGGCTGTTGCCTCATGAAGGCTAGTGTGTTTGTTGATGCAGAAGTGTGTTTACTGGTCATTACCTAGCAATGGATGATTTATCTTCTCAAACTATTCTGTCTTGTCACAATATTTTACTTCCATAAATTTTGCAAATGATAATTTTGTGGCATTAATTACCTCCATGGCTGCCTTGTTGTACATATCAATCTGTTCATTAGTGATCATGGCTCTTGCAGGATGCAACTTCTCAGTGTTCACAGGCTCCTGTAGGGTCCACAGCACATGAGACCTCTTGGAAGAGATGGCATCGATTGCCTGCAAAGTTGAAATGTATGTTTACTTGAAGTTACAATACAATGTGACGAAGTAGAGAGTCTTGGATTCTAATCCAATATTACATTCAAATTTAGTCTTAACAAGGGAATGTATTTTAAGTGCTAAAAATTAGAAGATATTTCCTCTTTTATGTGCTTTAAAAGTAAAAATTATACTTTAAAAGGCTGAAAATATTTTTTAAAACATATCCATGAGTAGCTAGTGATTCTACAAACATGTCTACATTTGGATAAAGCACACACTATCATGTAGCTCACTGAAAGTTCTTTTGCTGGCTTTTTCATGTATGGTGCAGCAACTGTAACTACCAAAAAAACAGTTAAACTTCACATGACCTGTGCACAAAATCTGCATGGCTTCATCGAAAGCATGTGCTATTGTTGTGTGATTCACTGCTAATGTTTCCTGGCATGACAGAAGAAGTGAGTTATCCAACGGCACCTGAACATTTTTCAAAACCCCAGTAACATCTGCAGCCTTCCACTTCCATTAGTTGTTTGATACAGATGCCAAATATTTCCTTTCCTGCATAAAACTCAAATTATGTCCAATGTTTCCTCAAAGCACTAAGGTCAATACATTTTTCTGAAAGGTGACTTGTTTAAAGAATGTCAGGAAATTCCAAATTTCAAGATTATTTATTTTAAGAATTCTGTGAGTTAAATGTTTTTCACATGTCGCAGAAGTGGTAGATTTGGAACGTCATGAAGAGCTTGTAACAGAAGACTCACCAATTAGATACTGCCTACCTGGCTGATCTTTTAAGCTGACAATGTCAGCAATATGCTTGCCTCCCCTTGAATGTTGTATTACTATAGAACGCTGTGACAACAGATTTTCAACGTGCCTGACCATAGAGATGTTACCATCAGAACTGAACACATCCATGAATTCACTAATATACAGAAATAAAAAGGAAATGGTACTAGATTTCACTTTTCCCATTCTTGTATACTAATTCACACTACAGGGTCATAGTTAAATTACAGGATGCAGCAAAGGAACCTAACCATTTTTAAAATGCATCAAGTTGGCAACCTCTTAGGATGAGATGGAGGGAATCATATCATTTGCAAGCTTAACTGATCACCTTACAGTTGTCATGGACCAATGGAGCACACAATATCATGCATTTATTGTTGAAACATTTTTTTTAAAAATGGTAATTCTCTTGTTAAAACATGGCGAATATTTCACAAGCATTTAAATACTGCTCACCACAGAAGCCGTAATACCATGTAGTGATGGCAAGAAAACTTCAGAACGAGTGCTTCTGCATTAAAAAAGAAACCATCAGTCAGTGTGCATACAGTGTGATCGCTACAGAACACTGGGGTTGAGGCAATCATTCATAAGGTGTTCAGCCAGGAGACATTCTATTGCTCTAGGAATATCCGATGAGAATTTTACACAAGGATCTAAATTCCATCTGTACAAAATCGTGGTCGTACAAGAGTTAAAGGATCATGACATGGCAAACTGCAGCATGGCAGCTAAGCATTTAATTGGAATTTTGTCCAATGATGTCATTATACTTGAAAGATGACGCACACTTTTACTTATCTTGCTGTGTCAACAAACAGAATTTTTACTACTGGACAGAGGAAAATCCACAGCAGCTCCATAAACGGTCTCTTCACAGTGCACATGTGGCTGTTTGTTGCGGCGCGGTAAACTTGGGAGTTATAGGCCCTTATTTCTCTGAAGATGAAGATGGGCATGCAGTTACAGTCATATCTGCTCATTATGTTGAAATGTTCTGGAATTTCATCACACCAGAACTGAGTTGTCATGGAAATGGGCTCTCAACCCTACGATTCTAGAAAATGGCGCAATTGCCCATACAGCAAGATCATCCATAGAGGTCATTTGGGAAATGTTTCTGGAACATGTTATTTCACTGCACTGCGAACTTACTTGGGCTGAATGTTCGCCTTATCTCTGCCTGTGATTATTTCCTTTGGGGATACCTCAAAGTGAAAGGGTAAACCACTAGACCATGCACTATTGATGGCCTCAAGATTGCAACTCGGAAGCAAATTTCAACGATACCAGAAAACATGGCAGGGCAAGCCCTGGGAAACCTGCAATCAAGGTTGGAAGATGGTGTATACAATGATGGGCAACATCTTAGTAATGTGATGTTCAAAACGAAATAAACAGACATAATGAAATGTGTGTGGAATAAAATGGCATTCAGTGTTCATTTATTTTGTAAAAATGAATGAAAACTAAAATAAAATTTCACTCCTTTATATACTTTTGAAAATTGTCAGGCATGTTTGCCACACCTGTAGAGAACTGGAGCACTGGGAACAAACTCTGTGAAGATCTGTATTGGACAATAGTTAGCATGGAATAGCAGTAGCTATAATTGTCCTCCTCATTTCCTGTTTGGCCAAACAAAACACATACATGTCATTCCCCACCTGTCAAACTTACAGTTCAAAATACACATCAGAGAATGACATTTACTGAATGGGCTCAGAATACTGGAGTACCATTCAACAGTGTCTGGTTTTCTGATGAGGCACACTTCCACTTAGATGGTTTGGTTAATAAACAAAATGTGCAATTCTGGGTGTCAGAGAATCCACGTGTGTTTCATATGAAGGTGCATCATGCACCAAGATTTACAGTGTGGGTCACCAACACAAGTCATGGATTGGTAAGGTCAATTCTCTTTGAAGAGACAGTGAACAGTGAGTGCTATGTAAGCATACTGTGCAATATTTTTGTGCCTCACCTTCTTGCTACAGGTTTGTCATTATAAACTCAGTGGTTAATGCAGGATGGAGCCAGAACGCACACAGCGAATGTTGCTTTGGTCTTTCTGCATGACACCTTCAACTCTCGTGTCATCTCAAACTTATTTCCTGATCACTTCTCACGTGAACAAAACTGGCCTCCAAACATTCCCGATTTAAACACATGCGACTGCTTCCTTTGGGGATTCGTTAAAGAAAAGATTTTTTCTGAAAAAGCTGCGAACGATAATGGAATTGAGAGCACTAAACATTCAGGCCTGCAATGAGATATGTACCATCAAGTAATCAACATCACAGTTCTTGCTGAAGAAGTTGCCAGACGTAATGGTGGTCATAGTGAACACTTGATTCACAGAGGATAGATATCCATGCAATGATCCTTCTTTTTGTATGTTAGTTTCTAGTGCTGTAATTGATAAAAAATTATTAACAGATTGAATACTGGACCATTTCATGTGCCACCCTGTACAATTACAGAAGAACCAACAGCAACTTTTCACCTGTACAAGACGTGTAAGGTTCCACGAATACTCCTGCAGTGCATGTACTGAAGCATTTGAATCTTTGATGGACCATGTTGCACTTCCTGCCACAATCATACTGGGAGGCTCATTCTTAACCTGCAACAGACAATTATGCAGTCACACAGTAATATGACAGAGCAAGGGCACAAGTAGATTCCATAAGGCTGAGCAAACTGGTTCAAGTAATGATGCTTCACTTATATTCTACAGGTGCCCACTTCAAATCTTGGCTGAGACTTCAACTATCCTGACTGGGGCTTTCCATGATTTCCTTCAGTCCATCCAGGCAAATACCAGATTAGCACCTCAAATTATGCTACAAACACATCCTTCCACATCTTTTCAAATACATTACTCACTGTCATCCTTCCAACAGTACGACATCTGACAATAAAGTTCACAAACTTGCCACTGTGTGCTTGCCATGGCAGAAGTTGACAGACACCTCAGTATCGTTACATAACGTTGGCATATCAATGTTTTACAGCTGTGCTGTCTCTTTCTGAGTGGTGTCTATTATTGTCTGAGTGTGTTTTGGTGTGCTGTCACATGACAATAATTCACCTGCTCACATGGCACTGCCTGTGAGGGAGTTTTTAGCTAGTAAACAAGTAACTGTGCTGCAGTACCCTCCCTATTCACCGGATCTATCCCCCAGTGACTTTCTTCTGTTCCAAAGCTAAATGAAATATTGAATGGAAAGCATTTTGATGACACTGATGACATCAGGAGTAATATGACGGCAGCTCTGAAGGCCATTGTACAAAACCAATTCCAAAATTGTTTTAAAGGGTGGACTAGACGCTTGCATCAGTGCATAGCTTCCCAAGGGGAATACTCTGAAGGTAGTCACAGTGATAGTCTGCAATGAGATATGTAGCACTTTTACCACAATAAGTTCGTGAACTTTACTGTCAGACCATGTATGCAGGTTATCCAGAAAGTAAGTTCTGATGGGCTACTGAAAAAAAAAACAAGAATTTATTTCCAAACCATTTATATTGCCACTTGATGTACATACCATACGCTACATTTTGACACAGTTTCCACCGTTGTTGAGTCACCTGTCATAGCAGGTCACCAGTTTTTTGTATCCTTGTATCATAGAATGATGCCGCCTGCGATGCAAACCATGTGTTAACAGCTTCTTTGACCTTGTTGTCATCGTGGAACTGCCAGCCACCAAGGAAAGTTTTCAGATGCAGGAACACATGAAAATCACTTGACCCTAAGTCTGGACTGTAGGGGAATGACTAAACTTTTCCCAACCAAATGTCACGATGAGCTCTTGCACTGTGGCAGGAGCGTGTGGGCAGCAGTGTCATGTTGCATCACTACACCCTGACTAAGCATACCAAGTCACTTGTTCTGGATTGTATGATGCAATTTAAGTTTGTCACAATGGACAACTGTATTGACTGTTGAGCCTTGAGGCAAGAATTCCACAAGCAGGATGCTTTTTCTGTCCCAAAACACTGTCCACATGATCTTGCAAGTTGAAATGGTCTGCTTGAATCTTTTCTTTATTGGCGATGATGTCTACCTCCATTCCATGGACTGCTACTTCAATTCAGGGATTACATTCTACACCCACGTCTTGCTCCCTGTGACTATGTGGCTTAAGAAGTCATTATCTTGCTCACTGTACTGTGTCAGAAAGATCAGCACACTGGCCTACCATTTCATTTTGTGTTTGTCTGTAAGCGTCTTCGGCACCCAGTGTGAACACAATTTCTGAAAATGAAATTTATCAAACACAATTTTGCGAAGAAGTGACCATGAAATTTGTGGAAAATGCAGGGAGAAAGTGATAAAATGGCAACTCCTCTGTTCTCTTGAACTTAACTTCCACTGCACACCCCAAATCTTCATTAACCATAGACAGTCAACCAGATCATCATGCACATTTTCACGTCCTTCATTAAAGTGTCTCACCCATCTCCTTAGCATTGAATCACTCATGGCATATTCTCCATACACATCACAAAGTTGATGATGAATGTCAGCCGGTTTTATGTTTCTTGCATTCAAGAAACAGATTATAGACTGCACTTCACATGCGGCAGGCTTCTCAATTTTCTTGAACATTGTAAACACAGAACAAGGCGTAAACGTGGTTTGATTGTCTGCAAATGGCGCCCATGCCTTCCAAAAGGACTAACAAACTCTGCACGCATGGGCAACATAGTGGGCACCGCGCTGCAGTGGCAATATCTGCAAGTGGAACTTATTTTGTGGATACGCTTTGTAAAGTGAACTCCTAGCCTAGTATCTAAACATCCAGAATTCTCATCTAACCAGCAAAGATTAAAATATATAATACAATTTTTATGAAGTTATTTAAAAATAAATTTTTGAATATGTTCATCTGATAAGCAGTGCTCCTACCAGCTACCACTAGCAGTGCTATCCATTATCCTATCTTAGGCAGGTGCTATTACAGTAGGGTATAGTTGAATATGTAATCACGTTACAATATTAAGTATGTAAAATCTTCCATCCTTCAACTTCCACACTGGCTAAGAAGATTCTCATGCAGCAAAGCAAAGAACATGTTTTGACTTTGTGTAGGATTTCTGTAACAGCTTGCCTCACGCAACAAGCAGATACCAAACCATACATGCCAGATAATGGGCAGTTTACTGTCTAGTCTAAGATACTGAGAGCACCATTAAATATATCATGAATAAATTAATAATTCCTGCAACAAGTTAGTAAATGGCCACGGCAAGTTGACATACTATAGAAGCCAAACAAATTCTGATGAGTTGAAAATAACATTAACAAATGTAAACATTACAAGCAACCAAGTACTGGATAAATTTTGGCATCCTTAAAATGAACAGATGACAAATGCATTGCATTCATCTGTTCATATATTTTGTTCTTCAACTGGAATATGGACTTGTTATACCTACAAGAGAGAATAAGAAGGGAGGAGAGAGTTGACATTAGTGAGATTCTACTCCTGGGTGCTCATGATGCAAATTCCCATTCGCTAAAAGTAAAGTAAAAAGTAAAGCTATCCCTGTACCAGGCCGTGAAGACCCATAGGGTTGTGACACACTGAGGGTCCCACACCATCTAGACAATCGGCTCAAAGATGGCGGTAAGGTTAATTCCCATTCACTACAAACAGTAACTCCCACAAGAAAGAAAGAACCGTAAGATTGACTTAACAGGATGAGAAACCACATATGCAATGACATTCCAAACACTAAAGGCGATTAAATACCAAAACAAATTTTTTTGTTATGTCTTAGATACATATGTCAGCAGGGAAACACGATCTGTGAATGCTCTCTGTGGAGTTCTTTTCCTCCCTCATCACTGACACAAAGTATCACATTCTTAACAATGTGTGCGTTGTTTATGGGGTACCTCTATACCCTATTGGCTGATACCCATGGTATCTCACCATAAAAGTCTATGCATGTGAAAGTAAAATATTCATGCTTTTCTTTTCTGAAGTTTGAAACATATGGTGTTATTTCTTCAGATATTGCAAACTACACCTCAGCATTTAAAATCCTGGCAGTGATTAGATCTATATGCTAAGCTACATCATGATTTTCCTATGATGAACTCTGAGATATGTGATAGTTCAATTTGAGCTCCATGAAAGATAACAGTTGTACTGCAATGCTGTAGATTAGAATTGGAGGCTGGGATAATGTAGTTGGTATAGTGACTGGCTACAAGCTGGACAACCATGGGATCAGAGATCAAGAACTGGTAGGTTCAAAAATTTTCTGTTCCAACTCCTCCAGACCAGCTCTGGGGCCCACCAAGCCTCCTATCCAATGGGTACCAGGGGATCTTTCCTTGGGGGTAAATCGGCAGGGACATCAAGCTGACCATTTACCTCCACCTAGTGTCAAGGTCCAGAAAATGTGGATCTATACATCCACTCCCCCATATGCCTTCATGGTTTAGTGCTTAATTAGTTAATCACAGGGACAAGATAAAAAACAGATTAAAATTAAATTTGTCAGACACATTTCAGTGCAAACCCAACAAGACCAACTTTCACTGAAATGTATGGGGTACTTTCAGAGATTAAAATATAAAACAGAGACACTAAAGCTATGTTACAATTTCTCTTATGCCCTCTGCATAAAGAATGCGCAAAAAACGAACTAAAACCAACTTGAACTTCTTAGGGATATCACTTTTGCACTAGAATATCAAAAAGATAAAAAGAAGTAAACAGAATAAAGAACCAAAGTCCATCCACACTATTAGAATATTAGAAAGGGTGAAACAATCATCAAATGTATAGGCATGCATAATAAATTTATCACAATGACATGTAACAGTTTCTGCATTTTGAAAAGAAAAGGAATGTAGGGGAAACAGGTTGCTGAATGATGATAACAACTTAGGTAAACTGATTTCTAGAATAACTCTCATTACACATCTGCAAAATGTTATAGCATTTGGTCTATAATCAGACACTGTGCAAGTGATCCACTGCACTCATACCATTTTCTAACAATACCTTCCTCTTACCTTCCAGTTCTGGAAATCATCAATCATGTGTTTTGATACATAAGGGCTCCAAATGAACTCAACATGAAGACGAAGTTTAGAATCGCCAAAAGAAAGGTCTGAGTGATGTCTGTCTGGTGGAATGGTTATAGTAGTACCCTCATGAGGGTCCAGATGATTCAGAAATGCCAAGTACAGTTGACGTATACGTGAGTCACCAATAAAAACAAAATGGTTGTGCTTTCCCCAGAATGCAAGATACCTCAGACATCGCCTTGTGTCCCTGAAACATTACATTTCCCTTTTTAGTTTTCTTTTTTCATGTTCATTTGCACGTAATATTAAAAACATTTACGTTCTATGCACAATTCTTACGTCTGACTGTAACGGTGCATCATACACCCATAAGGTTGCCACTCTTGGTTTCCTTTGTACCGGCCATCTGACAGAAGCCATTTGCATGAATCTATTCCTGTGAACCGAATAACAACCTTATTAATGTGGTTATTATTTTTCATTCAAAACAGCGGAGAGATCCGTTAAGACCACAAATAGTTTTTAATAATACAGAAATAGTATATCAGTCAGAATTTATATTTCTTGAAATTCACATGACAGAAACCCTAAAATGGTGCGCTCATGCTCAATTTCTAAAAGCAAAGCTATGCAAAATAATTTATATGGTGAAAATATTAAAAGAAATAATGAGTCCATATATGATAAAAATTATTTATTTTTCGAATTTTGAGTCATGTATGAGAAATGGTATCTTATTGTTGGGTGGGGATGGGGAAAGTAAAAGCATTTTTAAATTGCAAAAGCGGGTTCTTCGAGTGATTAGTGGCATTAGTAGTCACACGTCATGTAGACAAATTTTTAAAAATTACAATGTTTTAACATTGCCTTCTCTGTATATATTGGAGGTGACATGCCTTATCAAAAAATACAAGGCTTTTATGGCAATAAATTCAGACATTCATAATTATAACACACGAAGACAATTAAATTTTCATGTACAGCACTGTAATACAGATCTTTTTAAGAGGAGTGTGATAAATATGGGAACTAGTTTGTATAATAAGGTCCCCAATCAAATAAAACAACGGGAAAATTTTAACTCATTTAAAAAGGAATTAAAATCTTTTTTGCTGAAACATGCCTTTTATTCTGTAGATTAATTTATGTCTTTTGATTCATCAAGTGTGTAAATGTAATATATAGCTGATTAATTTGTTTTATTTGTGTAAAGACAATGAAATTAATGGTAACTAGATCTAGATAATATTCAGACGACAAACCCCCTATATTAGGGTGGTACAGTGTATACTGTAAAGATATGCAAGAGAATTAGATGTAAAACTGACAATTTCCTTATCCAAATGGTTGTAATACCTGTATGTATGGACTGTTGAATGATAACAGAAATGAAATGAAACGTAAAGTCGTGATTCAATTGAGGTTAGGAACACAATGGAGATTGAATTCACAATACGCGCTTACCGTATCTCAAGTGGAGCATTCCATGATATACAGTAAAACCTATTACTAGTGCCAGAGCAAGGAGCTTTGCATTTTTAGCATTTATCTGCTGAATTATTTCGGCAGCGGACTTCCCTTTCCTCGACGCTTCTCCGGACATCTTTGACAATCAAACGTACAACCAACTTGGAAAACATTACATAAAAAATAATCGTTTCAAACTTATGAGTACAGTTCGCAGTTTAATCACATAAGAATGACTCTTAAGGGAATATTCAACTTTCGCGGATGCACACAATAAGTATCATGATAACCATGTTTCAATACGTACATACATCACCTTCCACAATCTCAACATTTCAACACTGCGTCAATGACACTATTATTACGAAATCACAGGATAGGCAACATGAGGCACAGAAATTAATTTCCAAACACAATACCAATATCACCGGTCATCACTCAGCAAAGACTTCAGTCAGCCACCTGTAGAACCTCCCAAAAAACTTTACTTATTTGATTTCATTGAATTCGAAATTTCAGCACCACAATGTCCCACTCATTATTCCCCTGAGGGAAATAGCGATGTGCTGGATTCGGTGGTCCACCAAAACATGAGAGTGTCAATGTTATTGTTTCCGATATTCTGAAGTCAGATCACCTGCTATTAATTTTCCACATACTGGATCATGACAAAATTTTAATCTTTCTTAATCTATTGAGGAATTCACAGATTTGAATTCTCCCCAACAGCAGCTACGAGCTACCCTCTATATACGAGTATACATTGTCTTTTAACAAAACGCTGAAAGAAGTAGAAACAATAAAATTTCTGTTTGCAGCTGGACAATCATCTGATTTGTAAGGGACATATAGATTTTTTGCTTCATAAGTTGAGCACAGATGGTTTTCTAATGCGAAAATTATCTTATATGTATAATAAATATTAATAATCTTAAAGCTGTATATTATGCGTAATATCATTCATTGGTGAAATATGGAATAATATATTAGGGAAATACATCAGTCATAAGGTACTATATGTTATGCAAAAGAAAATAATAAGAATAATGATGGGAGTGGGTCCAACTCATACATGTAAAGAGACTTATTTAAAACGCTTGGCCGCGCCATAGCTTAAGCGGTTAGTCGCTGGCTTCCCACCGCGGCGGCCCGGGTTCGATCCCGGGGTCTGATCAAGTGGGATTTGTGGTGGACAAAGTGGCGCTGGGACAAGTTTTCTCCGAGTACTGCGGCTTCCCCTGCCAATCATCATTCCACCAATGGTGGCGATACGTTCCTCCGAAACGTCGGTTAACACAATTTCTACACGGCGCCACATCCCAGAAGACGGCTTTCTTCATAGTCACCGCCGTGAAAACCTCAAATATTTTTTTAATGCTAGTGGGGTGGGACTAAGTCCCATGTACTGCAGCCACTTCTGGCCTATTGTACCAGCCCCAGATGATAGGTGAGGGTGACTGTGGAGAAATTGGTGGAATGAAGATTGACAGGGGAAATCGAAGTACTCGGAGAAAACCTGCCCCAGCGCCACTTTGCCGACCACGAATCCCACTTTACCAGATCCGGGATCGAACCCGGGCCGCTGCGGTGGGAAGCCAGCGACTAACCGCTTGAGCTATGGCGCGGCGAAACATGAAATTTTACATTGTTTCAAGTAGTTCGACGATTTCACAGACACACGTTGGTACTCCTGTATCTCCCACCGTAAAAAAAAAAAACATTCTGTAAACTTTCTGGTCCATGTGGGTACGGATTAGAAAGGTACAGATATTACCACAGAAGCCACAAAAGACATCAAGGACGGTGGTTGCTGGTTTGTGGTCTAATAGCAATCGGGGAAATCTGTGCTAGTCGCAGCCGGTCGCAACCATCCAGAGGTTCAAGTTTAGATGAAGGTTTGTGGCCTATTGGCCGCTATTGAATATTCAATGAACGGTGGACATGTTGCGTGTGCTAGCTTGAAATTATGACTTTTCTTACGGGTAATATTACAAAGTTCGATTATTAAATTGTCATAGAAGAAGAACTTTCCTACAAACTATTGTTTGTAGTAGTATAGGCTAGCGTAAAGGTAACTATAAACAAACAAGGAAGTAATAAATGTACATAACCTGAGAGTGACAATTATTTGTGTTCGTATGTCAGTAAATTTGTATTCTTGGTGACTAATAGGTTAGCGGCGTATTTTTAAATAAACATGGCAGTTTTTAATATTTACATTCCCTTTTTAGGTAATCATTTAAGCCTTTACCCTTGCTTGGTATGATAAAATCATGCCATATGTCGTGGTGAGAGGCAACCTTGGAATGGCAAACACAAAAGTATATGGTTTGTCGTTGCACGAAGCAGAGCAGATTAGTGCGAGACTTCGGCCTGGCCCCAAAAACACTAACAAGGATGAACTGACATTCTACAATTCTGCAATCTATGTTATGAATCAGTTGGAGTACTTTTTTGGCTATCGAGTGATAACTTGTGCAAGCCAAGGGGATTCAGGACAGCCAATATGGACTATGACAAGGCCTTATTAACAGTTTGCGGCGTGAAATTACAGAATTTGACACTTAAGACCATTATATAGTGTACTTGCTTATAAATCCTATGCTTTGAGTTTGTAATGTATTGCTCCAGATGAAACTGAATTTGGTGACCCAGGACAGTGATATATTGAATTCTCTCCTAACCTAATGTGCAAATGTTGAACTGGTCTGAATAAATTCTGTATTTCAGCATCCTGTTGCAAATCTTTAATTAAACGTTTGTGTATCCACAGTTCATCAATAATGCAACAACTGTTTATTCACTATTTAACACTTAACACAACATGTTTCGGCCATAGATGGCCATCTTCAGGTGTCTTAATGCATGAAGACAACACCACATGCTGCCAGAGGGAACAACACACAAGCAAGGGGTATATTACAGATTGCAGATGTAGCAAAACAACAGGATAACAAATAGAAAAACAGGCTGCTGAAGAAACCTTCTCAACTAACCACATAGCTCTAAACAAGTGGACGACGCCCCTTATGAGGTGGAATAGGATTTTACAAAAAATTCAATGTGTTGCTGTGGCAGATCGAGTGAATTAAAAAATTCTGATAATTAACCACGTCATCTGCTTCCACAACAGTATTGACGGACTTGTATGTGACTGCCTTGCAGTGAATGTTAGACTGAATGATATTGTTAAGTTCGTAGACGTCTTTGTTCTTGGCCGCAAGAATAGCTCGTTCACTGAGCCAATTATGATTCTTATAATTGGTTTGAATATTGGGAAATAATTTTTCAACCAATTCTTTTGATGTCACTAAATTGCAGACGTTATGAGGCAATGAAATTCGTCCTGAGGTCAGATCAACCGGCACCTTTCCATTTCCAATTTCCAGCAATTGATGTGAGAATATCTCAGCTGATCGACCGTTTTGCAGCTGGACATGCATATTTGTAGTTAATTTTAACGTCTTTATGTGTCGCCACAAAGTAGAGTATTTCAGGCAAGCATTTATTTCATCTGCTGGTGTCGATCGAGGAATTACAGGTAATGTTTGCCTGAAATCTCCTGCAAGCAATATTAATGCATTCCCAAATGGTCTGATGTTTCCACGCAAATCTTGCAATGATCGATGAAGAGCCTCGAGCGATTTTTTGTGCACCATTGTGCATTCATCCCAAACAATAAGTTTGCATTTCTGCAATACCCGTCCCATGCCTAATCCTTTGGAAATGCTGCACATGGGAGTTTCAATGAATTGCATGTTCAATGGCAATTTCAAAGCGGAATGAGCAGTTCTTCCACCCGGTAGCAATGTCGCAGCTATTTTGGACGATGCAAGAGCTAAGGCTATGTCATTTTGGGATCGAATTGCTTCCAGAATCAATCTAATTAGGAATGTTTTACCAGTTCCTCCTGGCCCTCGGCTGCTGCTATGCAAATGAGCCTTTGTCATAACCGCGGAAATGCTGCTTTGTTGATTCCACAATTCCTACGCAACGACCCATTGTTATTGCGTTGTCTCTGTGGGAATGCTCCTTGTATTCGTCGTGACCATGGAGATTCGATACAGTATCGCTGTTCTTACTTCCTATGCAACGGTCTGTTCTAGCGTTTCCATAGGGGTGACTCTTCTGAATTCCAAATTCCAATTTGGTTTTTCAAAAGAAGCATGTTTTTACCTGTCACAGGTGTGACATATATATAATGGGTATATAAAAATGCGCGCATTCGAATGCAACGTTGTGTCAAAATTTCGAAGCAATCGGTGAAGAACTTTCGAAGATTTTCGAGGGGGTAACAAACGAACAGTTACATTTTTATTTATATAGATTTTTATGTTATTTTTAAGTGGACTGCAACGCACGGTTTTAGCACACATCAGAGCAGTGTAACAGTTTGGATGCATTAAGACACCTGAAGATGGCCATCTATGGCTGAAACATGTTGTGTTAAGTGTTTAGTAAACAATTGTTGCATTATTGATGGGCTGTGGATACATAGATGTTTAGTCTGAATAAAGCTTTAGTTTGATCTATTAATCTTGGGAGAAAGTTGTGTTAAATTGTGGTGGACACATAAGTCCCTCCTCATCATCTGTTCATGCCAATTTGACAAAAATAATTATCTGTTCTAATCAGATACTTCAGCACAGCTGTGTTACCAACTCAGTTATATGGACGTGTAAAGAATAAGGATCTGAAGAATGATTCAGTCTGTCAACATGGACTGAAGATTTTAGTTACAGTGAATCAAATTATTTCAGTAGTATTGTGTGCTGACAGAATTGTAGCATGGATGAAGTGATTGATCACAGAATTTTAGAGGAAAAATATAGAGGAGAAAATATAATGAGCATGTTGCATGCGTGAGAAATATGTACAGAATATTAGGCAGAAAAGTGGAAAGGAGTGGTCCAGTTGGGAGACCTAGGTGTGAATGGAAGGGCATTAAAATGGATATTTTAAAGAACTGTGTTGTTAGGATGTGGAATTTTAGGTTCCATAATTCCAGGAAATTGACTGACTAGATCAATGCCATCAGATTCTCATGAACTCTGGTCCACGAGGTTAATTAAATCCGTGAAAGGGCAAAGAACAGATCAGACTGCATTATACGTGGTCTGACAATAAAGTTTGTGAACTCATTGCTGAATATCACTGTGGTCGCCTTCAAAGTACTCCCATTGGGAAACTGTGCGCTGATGCCAGCATCTAGTCCACCCTTCAAAACAATTTTGGAATTAGTTTTGTGGAAGGGCTTTCAGAGCTGCTGTTGTATTACTCCTGATGTCATCAGTGTCATCAAAATGCCTTCCTTTCAATATTTCCTTCATCTTCAGGAACAGAAAAAAAGTCATTGGGGGCTACATCTGGTGAATAGTGTGTGTGTTCCAGCACAGAGACTGCCATAGATAAACAACAGAGCTGTGAAACACTGATATGCCAACGTCATCAAACGAAACTGACGTTTGCCCACTGCTACTATGGCAAGCATACTTTATTGTCAGACATCATACGAGTATATTGCAGTGGGTCCATCAAGTGTAACGGCTCAAGATATTATAGTCTTGGAGAGTCTGCTTTAAGCAGAATCAAATTTTTCTTATAATGAAGGACTGCTTAAAATTTAAGATTAGTTGATATAAAATTGAATAGTTTTATTAGGTATGGTTGTGTGGACAAGAATTTGTAATTCTTACTGAAACTTTATGTTCGGTCCAGTGAATGTGAAAGGAAAAACACACTAGTGTTTCACGATATTTTTAAGAACTTATTTAAGAACTTAATGTGTTTTAATTGAGGTTGTGATCAGATTTGTCCAAAAATTTATACACACAGGCTACCTTGAGCCCTCAAAACTACCTATTGGACAGCAAGTCACTGCATAGAATGCAGATGAACTGAGAGTTGTTCAGCTCAGTGCTTGAATTAGTGATTTACAAAATATGTCCTCTTGAACCATAGAACTTCCCAAGAGATTTCCTAAGGTTGTACAGATTAACTTTTCTAATTATGCTTATATGATGTGTTAGCACCTATTTAAAATCTTCCTGTCTGTATACATGAAATCTCAGGACCACTGGCTAGAATATATAATTTTATGTCTTGAAGTTTTACTGAAACTTGATAACAGAGTCCAGTTTTGGTTAAAATTGTACAGAGATAATAAACACTTTACATGGAGACCTACATGTGTTTCTCCATATTTAGAGCATAACTTGTTAAATATATATCAGAGCGCAGAATGTTTCAAACAAAAGTTGTATAGAATTGAAGCACACCTTTTATGGTTAATAAACCATTTCCATAACTGTTATAATTAACAAGAATAATGCATGTATTTCCTAACTTGTATATGCAACAATCAGCACTGGTCTTCTGAACATATCCAAAGATTACCAAAACCTCTCACTCTTGAAGATGGTTAAAGTATCCTCCCACTTGCAAAACAAAAGAAAGTTTTGATTGATAACTTCAGAAGGTGACTGCCAAATGCCAGCATATATCTGCTGTATGACTTACATTAGAGATATTTTTAGATGAGTTGAAATTAAATATATGTATCAGTTTTTTGATATTCTCATATATTATATCATGTAATACTTTACAGTTGTTTTACTTGTACAATACCATAATTAAATTTGTATCTTAAAACAATTACTGAATGGTATGCATGGACATTTTAATACGCAATCTCCGTTCAAAATTGTAGTGTGTCATGGACTCACAACAGGAAAGTGAACACCCTGCATCAGCATGATACTGATAGTGCCCTCCCCAGAATGTAACTAAAGTTGCTTTGATGAACTAATCATTAGCTGCCAGCATATGATATGCCTGTGCATTACATTACATATTACAGATGCCAGCCATTTTTTATTTTAAAATACAGAACACAATGATGAAGGAGGTTAATTCTCTGGAAACAGTTTTCTGTTCAGCCTTCCCTGCTTTATACCACCATATGCCATACAGTTTCTCTGTCACTGTTTTTTTAGCCACAGTGCTCTTGGGAACACAAAAATATAGGTGAAATGCAGTATCATCGGAACTAAAACTATGATGTACTATTCCTGGTAACCAAGTTTATACACTTTTTTTTAACTCTCTTGCTGCTTATTATTTTCTCACCATTTTCCTAAATAATGCAGTTGTAAAGCACAACAAAAAGTCTGTTTTCATAGCCCAGTGAATAAAGTTGAATGTTGCACTTTGCAGTAATGAATGCTTGTATGACTTGAATATTGTGCCAATAGGGTTAATTTTAATTAAGCAGATGGCAAGACATCTTCACTATGTAGTGTAGCTACTTATGAATCATTATTTTTAGAACAGCTTGGTTGAAAACAGAAGGATAGCAATGGATAAAACACTAACAGCAGGAGGAAAATATTGCATAATGGAACCTCTGTTTGTACCATACCACTGACTAACTGCTTCCAAGAACCTATTAAGTGTGCACACATTCAGATGTTTCTGCACACAATCAGGGGCTGGCACTAAAGATTATTACCAAATTTGTACTGTGTCATTTTTCTCTGGTGCATCTTCAGAGTTAAATCAATTATTTAGTTATAAATACACAAATCCACTTAACAAGCACATCTGGGGAGAACACACATATCTGAAATGTGACCATATATAAAGTTAAAGAAACTGTTGGAAGACATTCAAACAATAATAATACCTCCTCCAACCAGTTATTTACAGTCAACCGTAATCCAGTACAGTATAA